AACTCGATTTCCTAATTCAACTGGTTTTCTTAGTTTGACCAAGTTTGGGTTGATAACCAACTGGGCCTCCAACATCCTAACAAATACTCGGGTTTGGGCAAAACTGATTCGCCCAACCATGTCAAACTTGGGTTGACAATCAGACTTATTATTCTTGTCTTTTTTGGAAGATACAATGATTCAAATTCCAATACTTGTTATTTTCTACAAATAAATAAGTTTAATAATTGTGAAGGCAAATATACCATTCATACTATCGCTCTCATTGTAAGAATTTGAAACGGGAAAAATACTTTTCTCATTCCAGTCTTATATATTGTATTATGTTTAGACGTAGACATATGTCATTGTCCTAGAAATTCATAACATGTTCAAAAAATGGTGAAATATACCAATAATTAAGCTCAATATCGTACAATGATCATTGGATCTAATCATGCCAGATTAGGAACATGTTGAAAGTTTAGTAGTTAACCCGGCTAAAACGTTAAAAAACCCAGTCCATATAGTCTGCATAAGGATATGATTTCTTCATAGTTAATTCTAAAAATTAATACTAATTTAAAATTTTGACATTGCTTCGACCTATTTAATACTCTAATTTTATATGCAATATTCAACCAAGTGATATATGGGTTGCAATTTTAAAGTTATCCTCTGTTTATAATATACATTGAAATATAAATTAAGTATTAAAATACAATTAAAATAATAAAAAATATGAAAGTCGAAGTATCAAAACACCAAATAAGTACTTTTGAGATTTTAGATTTGTGTATGTTTTTCTTTTAAAAGATACAACAAATATATGTAGTGTGATTGGTTGTAATCCTTCCCTCTCTTAAAAATGGCCATTGTTCAAATCCCATATATATATATATATGAATGAATAAGAATGAAATAAATAGTTATGAAGACAAAAATATCTTTCTACTTTCACTCTCGATTTGGAAATTTAAAATGAATAAATGAGTTTGGGCTTTCACCTTTAATAATATATATGTGTTGATAGTTAGTTATAGTCCATGGGCCTAGTGAAATTTTACAAAAGATGGCAAGCCCGATCATCTTCATCCGGACCGAAGCACCAAAAGCGCAATTTTACCTCGCTAAAAAACTAACGTAATCCTGCAGGGAATTAACTAATTAAGAAAAAGGGGGTTTAGGGTTCTTCAATCCTCAAAAATCATAATTCCTCTGTTCTTCATCTTGCTCCACCATTGACCCACCCAACGGCAACCAGCTGGTTGTCTCCCGCCACCATTTCATCCACTCAGCTCCTTTTCCGTAAGTTCTCCTTCTCAGCCTCCTGCATTCTTCAGCTACTCTGCCACATTCTGACCGGAGGCATTGACATTTTTAGACTCTTAATTTCTGTTTCCCTTGCAAATTGCTCTGCGGCCTGCGGGGGATCTGTTCCTCGGATCCGTAGTTTTCATTGAGAGCGTTCCTTTCTCGTCAATCTATATTCCCTTCTTTCCCGCACTTACTGTTCTGTGTCTATTTGTGTCGGAGGTCTGAATTCGCAGTAGAAATTTCTGGTATTGCTGTGGGTAAGATGATTCAGGTAGATGGGCGGGTTGATTTTGGTCTGTGGTGAACTCATCCTACTAAGTTGTTGAACTCGTCAAATGTTTCTTTGTTGTTTGTTCCCCAAGTGGTCCACTATCTATGAATCCAAATGAACTACTGCTGAATTGCCCAAATCCCTTCTTTAACTGATTGCATTGCTACGGATCGATTTCGGTAAGGTGCTTTCATGTTGGCATTTCTGAAACTACGATCCATCATGCAAAATGGTAGTAGAGGATGTTTGTAAGCCACTGGTCTAACCTTTTTGCATCTGAAGGGAAGAATGAGTAATTTTCTTTACTGATAAAGGTGTTCTGCTCTCGCCATGCTGATCTGTGATCGGCTGAAAATGAAGAATACAGCATCTATGGTAATTTGCAGGTGCTTCCTTGCTTGAAACTTACAACGTCTTCTCTTTGCTTCTCAGGTTGGAGAATAGTTATATACATCACCAAAGCAAAAATGTCAGGGTGAGTAATTACTGAACAAGAAAGATGGTAGTTTCAATTTCACCTTGAAATTTTATTGTGGAGGAAGATGGTGTGTAATCATAGACCGTTTATCAGTTTTAAAATTTTGTTTCTTGCAGCGAAGAAGCTCCAGTCGCTGCAGTTGAGACAACACCTCAACAAGCTCCTGGTGAGCCCATGGACTTGATGGAAGCACTGCAGCTGGTGCTCAGGAAGTCTTTGGCTCATGCTGCTCAGCTTTGAGTAGTAGCTGAAGACTGTAACCAGGCTGACTATGTCAAGCTCGTCAAGGCACTTTGTGCTGACTATGGAGTCATATTGTTAAGCGTTCCCAATGTTAAGACCCTCGGTGAATGGGCCGGAGTATGTCCTTAGCAATACTAATGCTATGATTATTGTTCTCCTCCTCATCAATATATCCTCAACACCTGTTGGGGACAACTTATATGATTAGAGGGTATCTTGTTGCAGCTCTGCAAAATCGATTCAGAAGGCAATGCAAGGAAGGTTGTTGGGTGCTCTTGTGTAGTTGTGAAGGTAAAGCGTTTAGTTTCGCTGCTTTCATGTCACCAGCTTCGATTGTTTCCGGATTCAAGTTGAGTCGTTGCTGCTTTCGTGTCTGCAGGATTACGGTGAAGAGAGTGAAGCATTCAATATCATTCAACAGCATATAAAGTCACACTAATTAGCATGTAGGAAACCTTGTCATAGCTCGCAGGATGAATGGAGATTGGCCTCATTTTTTCTTTTGCTTTAGTCTCCTCTTCTGGAAATTTTCACTATCTAATCTTTCCCTCCCCGTATACTTCCTCAGTTACAGCTACTGTTCTTTCTTTCTACCTATGCCTCTCATTATTCGAGCATGCACTTCACACACGAATTCTGGTATAGTTGTTTTCAGGGTTTTTTGAAGTAAAAATGATGGTTGTTCGAGGAAAGAGGTGACCTTTTCCTTCTGTATGAATAGCTGGAATGGTAGAAAGTTTTAAGACAAGGGATTCACTTCGTATTGGTAGCTTAATGTCATAAGCTTACTTTCGGATACGATTTTACAATCCGTGAACAACTTAATTCCTGAATTGTTTTTAGTTGAGAAATTTGAATTGGTAACCATTTTAGGGTTTTTCAGAAATTTCAGGGCAATTTTATCTGAATTTCAGAATTACTTCTTGAAATTTTGCAAACTTGCAAGTACCCGACCACAAAAAAGCACGGTTGTCGCGCAGAATTCCGAAACAAATTGTAGTAGATTGATCTTACCATACAAATATCCTTCTTATCGACTTACAAGGAGTGTGACAACAAATAAAATTAGTCCTACAAACTCCCATTTTGCACCATGAGAAAAGTCCATTTTGTCCCCAGGACCCAGAAGCAACTTTTGAGGTGGCACCGGCACCTGACGTTGCATGAATTCATATCGGAGGGTAACTGGAAAGCCGAAAAAGACTCCGATATTAGCTTCCTTGCCGAGAGTGTCCAGTACAGCTGTACTACCCACACACACATTACTGATTTACTGTCTCTGGCCAAAAACGGAAATCTGACACGCCAATGGAACGCCGGCAGGCAAGCAAACCAGAGGCCATTAACCAAAATAGGAAGAAGGAAAGATAAAAAAAGGCTGAATCAAACCCACAATCCAAGACCAGGGAAAGAAAACAGCGGAAAAGGGATTTTACTCTGGCGTAGCCATTCGCATTTCGCCCCAAACCAACAATGCTGCTGCCTTAACCTGAGGCATATTTGCCATTCAGCTTTGGTCCCTGCAGCTTCTTTCCGGCAACGTTTCTGGTATATAGACCCATTAAAGTAACGCGCTTGATTCACTGACTTTGTTGCCGGCTCCGGGAAGAAAAAGAAAACACAGATTCGTCTCCTTCTGGTGGGTATGAAACGTGGGTTTCGGTTCAACTTCTGGAAAACGGTAGTGCGGGTTGAGAAATTTGTGGGGTTCGTTTCTCTGTTTTTCAGGGTGTGCTTATTTCTGTTAGGGCGCATTTTTTTCTCTTTTCTTTTTTGGGTTTGTAGCAGAGTGTTCTTGGAAATGGCCGTCTCTGAGACTGAAATTGAGAAGAAGCTTAAGGAGCTTGGAATTTTGCTTCAACGCCCTTCTATGTCCCACCATGATATCCTTTCTCTGCTTGACGTACGTACGCCCCCTTTCTTTAGCATGATTAGTGTTTAATTTCCATTGTCACCTTGAATGCTGCATTTGGTACTCTGTTAACTTATTATACTACTGAATCGATGCGACTGTTTGCAGAAGAATTTGTCGTCTTAATCTCATGCTCTGCAATTTTTGTGCTGTAGTTTACTGTTGAGTCAGTGTACTCGCTTGGAATTTTGTTTAATCTCCGAGTCTGAACTAATTTTTTGACTGGGGATTTTGTAATGACTTTTTTAATTTGTTGGCACTTCTTCAAGTGGTTTTGTTCCAGATTGTTTTCACCTTCTTCATATGTAGATGGTCACAGCAACAAATTGTTCCTTGCAAGGAAAACAGTAACAAATGGTCTTTCTGAATGATTCATAATTGAATCTCTCTCAACAATTCGAGTTATTGAGATTAACTGGTTCTTGACATGGTATCAGAGCCTTCTGTGACCGAGAGGTCTTCTGTTTGAATCCCGATGATCCTTATATGTTCTGTTAAGCACATGGTGTCCGGATTTATGCAAACTTGAAACCCTTCTGAGTTGGCTTTGTTTGGAGGGGTGTGTTAGTAAACGGTATATGATCTATAATTGCGGGTATATGATATATAATTGAACTTTTCCCAGCAATTCGAGTTATTGGTTACTTTTATAACATTGCGCTTGACCTGCTCAACTTGCCCATATTGCATTTATCTTTCCTTGCAAGAAAGACTTCGGATTTCACTCCTTACAGTAGTGTCACTGTCATGGTCATATGACACAGTGACTTGACTGATCTTTCTTTTTTGTTTCCTTTTTAATGTTTTTTCAGAGTCTTGAGCGTTTGCTCATAAAAGTTGAGCAAGCACCTTCAAGGCGCATTCGAGATGCACTCTTACCTATCTTGAAGTCTTTGATCTCAAGTGCTCTCTTAAGGCACTCAAATACGGATGTGAGGGTTTCATTTGCGTCTTGCTTTAGCGAGATCACAAGAATCACAGCACCTGGTGCTCCTTACAGTGATGAACCCATGAAGGTACCAAACTTTTAGCATTTAGATAACTCAACAATCCATTTTTATGGACATTAGTCGATGCATTTTCTTCAAACTGATAGGTCGAAGACAGAGCTTTCACATTATGCAATCGATCTGTTACAGGAACTGTTTCAGTTAATTGTTGAAGCTTTTCAGCACTTAACTCATCCATCAGGTCCCTATTATAAGAAGGCAGTTTCAATTCTTAACACTGCTGCAATGGTCAGATCATGCTTGGTAATGCTGGACTTAGGGGTGGATCAACTGATTCTGGATATGTTCCAACACTTCCTGACAATTGTAAGGTAGAAATTTCTTCTTTTCACATGCCACTTCTTTGTCATGTTCTCAAATTGACAACAGTTGTGAATATAAAGAACCTTCAGCCAGTCATATAGATTACTTGACTTGCTCTTCTGTAGTATCGTTTCTTGGATGACGCAATTTATTTACTTGAATGACTTGTATGGGATGATATAAGTCTCTCTCAATAACTGGGATTATTGGAATAAACTGGTTTTTGACATGGCATCAGAACTTTTAATCGAGACGACTCGTTTTTAAATCCTTGTGACTCTTTGTATTAGCAGTTGATTCAGGAGCAAAGTTTGTTGGGTTAGGCATATGAGTTGGCTTTTGTTTGAGGGAATGTGTAAGGGATGATATAATATTCATACATAAGCTCTTCTCAACAGCTTGACCACTTGGGTCATTGCCTCATTGGGATGAACTAGTTCTTGATAATATTGTTCCTTCGGATGATCACTTTCTTCTTTGGTAGTTGGTGGTGTTAGAAAGAAAGATTGATTTTTTCACTTAAGGCTTACATTCCATTTTTCATCGGCAATCACTGACATATGCTTTATTTTTTGTGAATAATAAGGTCCAACCATGCACCTGATATACTACTGGCTATGGAAACCGTTATGACCCTGGTGATAGACGAAAGTGAGGAGATGTCTCTAGCTATTCTCACTCCTCTACTAGCTAGCATAAGAAAGGACAATCAGGCATGTCTCTTTGGTGGTGGTTCTTGGTTTTTTTTTCTTCTTTCCTCTTACCAGGATTCTGATTATCACACATAGAATTAGTTTTATGTGCATGATTGCCGTCTTATACTATGGTTTACAGAGTATATATCCTTACGAGTGGAAGCTTGGCGAAAAAGTTATGACTAATTGTGCTGCTAAACTTAAAACTCGTCTCAAGGAAGCTGTGCAGTCTCTAGGCATAGCTTTGGATGATTATGCCTCAATAGTAGCTGATATCTGCCAAGATAGGGCCCACCCACCTCAGCACAATCATCTCATAAAGTGTTTGGTATGCTTGCTCTGCTACAACCAGTTGGTATCAATCTTCAATTATTTTTTCTTTATTCTCTCATCACAATGCATGTATTGGGCAGGTGACTGGTGGACAAGTTAACAATGGTGGGTCTGATGTCAAGTTGGATAGTGGGCAAACTTGTATTCCAAGGAAACGGGGTAGAAAGCCAAAGTCTTTAATGAAATCTGAAGAAGGTTATGATCAGCAGGCAAGGATTCAAAGTGAAAAAAGGCCTCGTGGCAGGCCAAGGAAGAATGAGACAACTGTTCTTAGCACCCCTGAAACCAACCAGAAGAGGAAACGCACTCCAACAGGAAAGGTGGGTACGAACTATATATAAGCTCCAATGCTAGCTTCTGAGATATTCCTTTCTTTAGTTTGAACATTTTGAAATGCTTTTGAATCAAGAGATTGCTATTGATGCAGGCTACTCGAGCCCCTGACGGTCTAGTCGAGGGACTGATTGGTAAGAGCATCAGAGTATGGTGGCCACAAGATCGAAGGTGAGTGATAATTGTAATAAGAAAACAAAAATGGCGTCACTCTCCCATATAACATGCTAGACTAGGACTTTTCTGATACAGCTTTGTGTATTTTGTTGCCTTGGCTTCTGCAGGTTTTATGAAGGAGTAGTGCACAGCTATGATCCAAGTCGCCAGAGGCACCTGGTTGGTGACTACTAGCTACTGGTTTATTTACGTTTTCAGTGTGGGTTCTAGATGGGTTCTTTCACCACCCACCATTCTGTTCAGCTCATATTCGTGTGTCCAATGTTATAGGTTTTGTATGTTGATGGTGATAAGGAGATTCTGAACTTGAGGAAGGAAAGATGGGAGCTACTTGAATGCGACGAGAAATCAATTGATACTGTCAAGGAAGCACCATCGTGTTGGATACAAGACGCGGTTGCAGAAGAGAAAGTCCAGGGGCTAGTAGTGGCGGCAGCAGCTCCAGAAGCAGCCTAACAGAAGCAAGAAGCAGACAACGTGCTGTGCATTCCAGCATCGGATGGTTAGGCGTGAAAGAGAGAAATTTTGGGTTAAGTAAAGATGTCTAGACAGAAGAGTGCAAAAGAGAGTACTGGTTTTTCTTTCCTGACTTTCCTTTTGAGACTCAGTCAAGCCCATTTCGATTGAAGTATTTTTGTAGATATGTAGCTGCCATAGATAGATAGAAGGTAAAAGAGAAAGAGTTGAGTTTGGCGCCATTAGTGATGAGGAAGTTAGGAGTGGCTTAATGCGGGGAAAAGGGGTTTTGCTTGTTTTAGACATACTAGGATAGTGGAGCCGCGCTACGCAGCGGCTTTGGGCTGGTTTTTGGTAGTTTTTTGCTAGCCCATCTAAATCGTCTCCATGGGTAGCTAATGTTTTTTGTTCTGTTTCGTCAATACCCCTTTGATAGCTCTAGGTTTGTACCACCACAGCGGCTCTCTCTGCTACTCATGCATCTCCCAATCTCCTCTATACAGGTGAAATAGAAACTACCCATGGATTTTGTCTTTCTTTCAATCTATCTATCCATATATCTACATCCTTGCATCAATTGGGGAAATCCATCAGTAAATAAAAGAACAAATTGAGGACAGCTTTGGTCCAATCTTCTTCTTTGAGGAGTCATGTTCTCCGCTTCTTTCGTTTCTCTTGTGGAAGAAATGACGAATCAGAAACCAAAGGTCTAATACACATCCCTTCTTCTCCTTCCATTCCCATCCAATTTTTGGAACAAAGATCTAACCGCTACCACTGAACATTGCTAGCGGATCTGGATTGTTAGCTGTGGTCTTGGAGGGCGTCTATGGTGATTCGGTGGTGGCGATGGAGTAGGGGAGATGTTTGTCCATGAGAGGATCTGAAGTAGAGGGCAACATGCAGCAGGGAATCAGATTCGGTTGGGCCCTTTAGTTTCCTACAGAGGAATCATATTGTTCTCTCTATCACAACATTTGGGGAACTCCTCCTCACTGATTTTGGTGATTTCGGCAATGAAATTCACGAAAAACTCGCCGGCAACTCTTCTTTTCTGATTGACTTTTCCCAAATTTCTTTTTCTGGTTGGGTTACCCCAATGAGGCATTTTAGTATGCTATATAGTACCCATGCTTTAATATACTTAGAGCCATTAGATCTTGTTATAAAATATCAGCCATTGGATTGAAATTATTTAATTATTATTATTTTCACTTGTGGACTGGTAACCTGTTGCACCGGTTCATTACACAATCATTTTAAAAAAAATTGAAATCCAGGCGATCAAAACAGAAACCCTTCACTGCATCAAAAAAAAAAAAGGCGATCGAGCTTCTCTTCCGCGGTGGAATTTCAGAGCTTCTCTTCCGAGGTGGAATTTCAGAGCGTCTCTTCCGCGGCGACGGCGAACCTGCATTTGAAATAGTGCGACGGCGACGGCGAACCTGCATCTAGGGCGACAGCGACGTTGTGAGAAGAAAGAAATTGGGGGGAACCCTTTCGCGATTGTGAACTGTGCTCTTCCGCGGTGGGTCTCTTCGTCGATATTGAAGGGCTTGAGCATCGGCGACGGAAACGGTGAGATTGTGCGGTGGGTCTGATCGTTTTTCAACTTTCCTCTCCTGGGATTGTGTTTTGCGGTGGGTCTGATCGTTTTTCAACTTTCCTCTCCTGGGATTGTGTTTCGCGGTGGGTCTGTTCGTAGATAGTAAAGGGGGTGAGCAGTGGCGACGACAAAGAGGACTTGAATTCTGAAGGTGGCAGAGACTCTTTTACTGGAGGAAGACTCAGAAGGAATCAAAGACTCGAAAAGCCCAATCGACAACGACGAGTCAACTAGCGCCGGGTAGGAGAACTCCTGCAATAGCGAGAATTGGGTGATAAAGCATTCGATTTCCGATTTGAAACGACGACTCAGTCATTCATTCGATGTAAGTGGCTGAAATTCTTATCTCCCTTTGATAAACATTCAATTTCTAGCTTCTAGCTTCTAGAGCATTTGTTGGAGCAGCTTCGAGTACAATAATGGTGTCTTTGAATGTCTGACTTATTTCTCTGGAAATGTCAAGTTGTCTACTAAGGATCGGTTGCCAAATCATAGGATTGAAATTCCATGCTCGTTTTACCAAATTGAACTATGGAAGTAGAAGAGAGAATTTCTCAATTCTGTGTAACCATTTGGGATTGAAATTGAAGCTTCTCCACTGCTTTCTTCATGTGCATTCTCAATTGGATATGGTGATATAAGATGCAATATTCCTTTCCCTCTCTCGGTTTTATCAGTTGTGTGAAGTGGGAATTCTGATGTGCTCCATCTTTTCCAGTGTCTTCTTCTGTGATTTGGTTTGTCTATCTCTTTAGCTTTAACGTCTTGTGCAATGAGTATTGAAGCTCTCTCAAGTGTAGTTCTTGGTTGTGCTGTATTTTGTCACGGCCGAGTTTGATTGAGATGGGGGCATCTTTAGTCATTCCGTGATTGATGAAGCTTCAGAAAGTCTGCACTTTTTTGTGCAAATAGTTGTGGCCATCCACCATATAACTTCATTCCTCACACAGATCGTTGATGTGACCTAGGAGGTATTTGTGAATGGAGGATTCAGTGTCAACTAGGAAGCTGTCTTGGTTTATATAATCCCATAAACTGTGCTGGGGTTGTTCATTTCGTTGTTGCCTTTGCTTTCAAACTGAAGAGAATAACTGTGCTGGGGTTGTTCTGCTTGCTTCTTTAGTTCTTTGGTCTTGATTGGGTTTTATGGATGTAAGGAATGGGTTTTTGATTGGAGAGACTTGATTTGTGTTTTATGGAGGCAAATCGAATAGGAAAGTTCATACTCAGTTTGATTATTTTCAGTTTGTAGTGTCGTTACCGTTGCTTGTTGATTACATTTTGGACTGTTAATTGAAGGGTCTTGCTTGGCTGCATGAAAGGTGCAATTGAGTGTGTTAGTCAAGAACTATTTCATGAAATCAGGGTGACTTCAGTTTTAGCCAGTTTGGATGGAAATAGAGCGAGTGTTTATGGTGGTGTCATGGGTTATGGAAAGCTTAGTGGCTATGCTCGTGGTCATGTTATTTAGCTCTCAAAAGTTGTAAGTTGTGTGTGGTTTCTGGAAATATCACGGCTGTGAGAGAGACCGTGGATGTAATTCTGGAAATATCACGGCTGTGAGATAGGCCGTGAGAGAGACCGTGTATGTAAAAACACACTTCTCAGTTTCCCAGAGGTTTTCACGGGTTGCCTTCGACAGTGTCACGGCCGTGAGATGATCCGTGTTTTTGGATATGGATGATGGGCATCTCACGGCCCCTTCGTTAATTCTCACGGGACCCTTTGTAAATTCTCACGGGCCCCTTTGTAAATTATCACGGGCCCCTTTGTAAATTATCACGGTCCCCTTTGTAAATTATCACGGGCCCCTTTGTAAATTCTCACGGCCCCTTTGTAAATTCTCACGGGCCCCTTTGTAAATTCTCACGGCCCCTTAGTAAATTATCACGGGCCCCTTTGTAAATTCTCACGGCCCCTTTGTAAATTCTCACGGCCGTGAGAATAAACCGTGTGATTGTCTGGAAATTGTCTGGAGAAATGCAAACTTCTCTTTGCTTCTCACGGGTCATGTCACGGCCGTGAGATTTTGCATTTTGGGTGAAAATTAATGAAAGCTGGGTGTTTTCATGGTTAATTAGTGTACTCAGGTGTTGATGTAGGGGGTTTTCAGTTCTTCTGGTAGTTAGAACTTGTATTTTGTTTGTACTCTTCGGCATGCTTATAATTCGTGTTTCAAGGCATGCTTATAATTTTTCTGTTGTTTTAATTTTGCAGTTTGCTAAAATTGTTCTATAATGAAGACGAAGAGGCATCAAATTTTCAGCACGCGATGTTCTCCTAGGAAAGTATTCTCAGTAGTCTCAAATTTAGAGGCTTGTCAATCAGAGGCCATTAGGAGATGTGGCTTTGGTCGTATTCTTGATGTCAAAGCAAGAAAGCTACAACGTGAGTTGTTGGAGAAACTTGTGAAGAGCTTTAATCTGGAAGAAAGCACAATTAAGGCGTATGGGTTGGAAGTGCATATTTCGGCCAAAGATTTCGAGCGAATTATGGGTGTGCCTGAGGGAGGTACTGATATCATCTTGAATGGTGAAGAAGTGGAGGGAAGATCAGAGGAACTGGAACCATTTAGAGTGTTTTCGACACGTGAATGTGGCCGACAGGCGATTTCCACAAGCTTAATGAAGAAGGAGTTGTCGAAGATGAAAGATAGCGACGATCTATTTCTTCAAATGTTTATTTTGTACGTAATGGGGGTGCTATTAGTACCAACTAGAAGAGAGGACATTTCCTTGTCTTCGGTATACGCTGTCACCGATGTTGCAGACATTCCGAAGAAGAATTGGGCATCCTTTTGCTTCAATGAATTGGTCAAATGCATCTGCGACCATAATGCTTCTAAAAGAGAGTATATACCGGGTTGCTTGCTGTTTTTGGAGGTAAATAATTGTTAATCCCGACTTTCTACATATTTGTAATGATTAATCATCATGTTGATTATAGTATTTTTTTTTTGTAGTTAATATTCTTGGAGCATGCAAATGGTATTTTCCAAACCGTTGATGGGAGTTTGGATTTGATGAGTTGGGGGAGCGGAGACGTGGAGTTATTGTTAACAAAAGTGGTAAGATTGATAGTATATTTGATTCTTTTGACAAGTTGGAGCATGCTAATGGTACATTTGGTTCCCTTTTTAATTAATTTATAGGTTTCCAGCAGTTCGGGGAAAAGATCAGCTGAGGATGCCGGTTTGAAATCACCTCCAAGGAAACGGGGAGAAGTAGATGGGAAACGGCACAAACCCGACGGGGATGAGCTACTTCTCTATGAGCGTATTGATGCTCGGTTTAGTACCATGGAGGGTAGAATTGACAACTTTGGTCAAGAATTTAGAGTGGCAATGGGTGATGCTGCTTCTAGAGATAATGAGCTAATGAGCCGGGTTGTGAAAATGGAGAACGAATTTCGGGCTTTTAGAGACGAAATCGGTACTGCAGTGAAGTCCCTTATAGAGGCAGTGAAAGCAACTGTAGGTGATCCGTTGTCAAGGGAGCAGCCTAGGGAACCCATTTCTCCTACAGCTGAGTTGAAAAAGAACGATCAGAAGGGTGAGGTTGAAAAACCTAGGGAACCCATTTCTCCTACCTTGGAATTTGTCAAGACTGCCAAAGTTGAGAATTCGGGAGAAGCTGAGGGGGAAATTGGAGATGAGAGATGTTCTGAATCTCCTTCTGTGAAAGTTGTGAAAAAGTCTCCTTGCAAGCAGCCTAAAGCGTCGCAAGTTGAGAAATTCATATTGTTGAGTGATGAAAGTGTTGCTGCTAATGATGGTTGTTCCAAGGCTGTGAAGGTATTTCACTTGATTAATTTTTCTAATTATTGGTTCTTATGGTGTGGTTACTAATGAACTGGTTTTGTTTTTTTATGTTTTTGAACAAGAAAGGGGCGAAAGGGAGGTGCACTACGTAGTGTGTCTAAATTGAAGCCTAGTTTGTATGTGCTCTCTCCATTCGAACGGGCAAATCC